TTAAGAGGAAACCCTGCCTAGATGCTGCGAACTGGAACCAAAACCAGGAACAATTAAATCTTCAGAGAAAATTTATTTCAGACCCTTTTCCAATCCTAAATGCTAATTATGCCAAGGGGACTTTGTCTATAGTAAACAAGCATTAATAGTTATCAGGAAGCAGTCTAATGCTTTCAACCTGGAGTATTTTTGTATTAAAGAGGCTATTATGTGAATCAGAGGTGGTATTCAGCAGGTTCTGACCAGTTCTGGAGAACCGGTAGCGGAAATTTTGAGTAGTTCAGAGAACCGGTAGCAGAAATTTTGAGTAGTTCAGAGAACCGGTAGCGGAAATTTTGAGTAGTTCAGAGAACCAGTAAATACCACATCTGACTGGCCCTGCCCCCATCTATCCTCTGCCTCCTGAATGCCAGCTGATCGGGAGGGAATGGGGATTTTACAGTATCCTTCCCCTGCCATGCCCACCAAGCCACGCCCACTAAACCATGCCATGCCCACCAAGCCACACCAACAGAACCAGTAGCAAACATTTTTGAACACCAGCACTGTTGGGAATTCCTATTTGAAATACCAGTGAGTGACAGATTTTGCTCAGAATGCACTACAGGCAGTTCTCAATTCATGACCAAAACTGAGCCTAAAATTTCTGTTGCTAAGTGAGACAATTATTAAGTGAGCTCCCCCCCCCCATGTTATGTGTTTTCTTGCCACAATTGTTAGGTGAAGGTCGCAAAAGTTATCACATGACCCTAGGACACTACAACTATCATAAATATGAACCAGTTGCCAAGCATCTGAATTTTGATCATATGACCATGGGGATGCTGCAACGACGGTAAGTGTGAAAAATAGTCAAAAGTCACTTTTTTCAATGCTGCTGTAAGTTCACCAAATGAACTGTTGTAAATCAAGGACTATCTGTATTTAAGTAAAGCAGTAGAAACCAAGTAATGAGAGCCTTAAAGGTAAAGGTAAAGGTTCCCCTTGCACATATGTGCTAGTCCTTCCTGACTCTAGGTTGCAGTACTCATTTCCGTTTCAAAGCCGAAGAGCCAGCACTGTCTGAAGACATCTCTGTTGTCATGTGGCCGGCATGACTCAATGTCCAAGACCCATGGAATACTGGGACAAAGGTGGTTCCTGTTTTTCTACTTGCATTTTTACATGCTTTCGAACTGCTAGGTTGGCAGAAGTAACAGGAGCTCACTCCGTTACGAACTGTCGAACTGCTGACCTTTCTGATCGACAAGCTCGCGTCTTAGCCACTGAGCCACCGCATCCCTGACAATGAGATCCTTAATCAATATATAAACAGCAATTTAACAAAGTCAGATGTTCCACATTACATTATATTTCTTCCGATCTGGGAAGAAATTTTACCAGAAGTTTTATCATAAAGCAAGTACAGCAACCTAAATCTGAGCTTTTGACATTTTATCCCAATCTGACTCAGGTCACATGGGGATTACAGCAAATACACATCAAGTCCAGCTTGATGATTTAAAGGTTAGATACTCATAGCCATTTTAAAAAAAAAAGGAAAGCAATTTAGTAACCAAGGATCCAAGGGAAACTACTGCTTGTTGCTATAAGCCTAGTCACATAATGTACTCGTGCATTTATCACTGCTTATAGTACAACATGGGAAAGACTCCAAACATTAACGAGAAGGTGACAACAGTTCCTGAGAGGGAAATAAAGAACCCAGGAGGAACTTATTTAAATACATTTCCCAGTATTTGATGAAGAAACAAGTACAGTTGCTGACAGCTTCATTTTTCAACTCATAGCATGGGCACAATTCAAAACCACAGGTCTTCCAGAGTAGATAATTTATATTTGCATAAAGGATTAGCGGTTTCGTTCTTGATATGATTGTAAAGACTCCAAGCTGGGTTTGATATCTAAGCAAAATTTGAAGGACATGGTCAGCTACTGAACTTTATCTCCTTGTGCAAGCAACCAAGATGGCAAGCTGATTGCCAAGAGCTTTCTGGAATAGAAAGAAGGCAACCTGTGGTCATCTAGCATCCCTCTATCATGCTAGGTATAGGTACTGAGAACTGAAATTCTACAACCTGGAGGTAAGATGGCTGGTCTATAAAACAAACATCTCAAGATCCAGTTCTAGAAGCAGGGCTGAGAGCAGGACTCACATGTCTCCATGAGTGGGAACGGCATATCTATACTATTTGTGAATATAGTAAAATCTTACCTTGCATCATCTGCACAATCATAAACACAATCCTTCGAGGTTACTTGTAAAAAGGTGGACCCTAAAATCCATGACCTTTTGTTCCTGAGTCACATTTTGAGCCCCCAAAGTTCATTAAACGTTCATTCATATACGACACAAAATTTTGATTTGACGACAAGTAAGCCCAAATCTGAATTGAGCGTTTCTGTGCTTCCTTCATTCACTTTAAGCAAACCCGTTTTGTATTTTTCCCAAAGGGAAAAATCATTTGCGCAAGGCAAGGAAAGCATGAACCACCATTTGCAAATTCAGACATTATTACCCAGGGTCAGGAAAGTACAATGTTTTTCCACATCTGTGCAAAGAAGTAAAGGATAATTGGCTTTTTACTTCTACGGAAATATATTAGTCTATGTGAGTATGTTCCTTTGAATCAAATGTTGACTCCTGGTGACTATCTGAACAAGTCTCTGCAGTTTTCCCTGCAGGCAAGATTTTTCAGAAGTGGTTTGCTCCTGCCTTATTCCTAGAGCTGAAAGAAAATAGATGACCCTGGCTTCATGTCCCAGGCAGGATTAGAGCTCAATCTTCTGGTTTTTAGCCCATTGCCTTAACCATTATATCTCAGAAGTGGTATTCTACTGGTTCAAACCAGTTCACCCGAAACGGTAGCGGAAATTGTGGGTGGCCCTGCCCACCTGCCCGGCCTCTATGGCATCCCATTTAGGCCCTTTTTTCACAAAAGTGCATGCGCGCACAGCTGAGCGCATGTGCCCGTGCTCACATTTGCTAATTGGTAGGGAAGGTAAATTAATACCACCCCTGATCAAACTGGTCCTCTGTATTGAACATTTAGAGTACATTTTAAGTCAGGCTTGTAAACAGCCATTTGTCTCATTTGATTGTGACAAGCGCCAAGCAACCAGGCTGTAAAAGTTTTGAAATGGAAAGGGAGGAAGAGGTAGTGTTAAAATTTAACTACCAAGAAATTAAAGAGGAACATTAACAACATAGGTTTAGAAGCATTCATTTTTAAGAAATAGCAACTTCTGCTGAATCCTTGGCCAAACTCTCCTAACCACCAGAATAGTGGTTTCTAAAGGAAGAGCTTGGAGGGGAAAAAACCATGAAGCTACTGGAGGAAAAGTTCATGCAACCATCCAGGCAGCCTCCCAGTATTAAAAATACAAAATAGATCACAGGCACTGAATTTTGACTGGCGCAAATAATACAGATAGGGACTAAGGTGAATGATATGACTGACATCTGCATTTGTATTTTCTCATGACACAAATTGTAAAGAATCGTGGCCTCACCAGAATATTTAATTTAGTTTTTCTGCAGCTGAAAAACTCATTCGACATCTTAGCAAGGAGCCAAAAATGTAGGGATGCAAGAATAAAACATTATTATAGGGGAAAAAATCCACCTATCTACCTATCCCTCTCTCCTTCCCCAAATCTACGAATATGATTCTTCCCACCGTAGCTACAGTATCTGCATTAAACAGAAAGGAAAAGAACAACGCTCTGTCTAGAGAAAATTCTATCCAAAACGCGCCCCCTTGTGGCGCATAGCATATTTTGGAAGAAAGAACGAGACCGAATATATATATATATATATTGGCAGCGTCAAAAAAGAATAAAGGCGAAAAAGAAACTTGAATGGTATTGACTGGTTTTCCATACAGAGAGTCCCTGCAATTGAAACTGTTCCCCGATTCAGATCACAGCCTTTCACGTATCACAGTCAAAACCCGAGAAGGCTAATAGAAAAGAGGGAAGCAAAAGAAAGACAACCTGAAGTTTAACGGTATAAAACAACCTCCAAACTTTTACGTCGGGTAAAGCGACTATTATCAGTTTGGTTAAAACTGTAGCTTGGTATGACACACACACACCCCGAAACCTGTTGCAATCTGCACATGAACAGCCCCTTGTATGTAGATCTCCGTCGTCATGCTTGTTCGCCACCCGCTTCAATTTAGGCATCTCAGCGCAGCGCGCACATGTTTATGATACGCATTGCTTTTCAGTCGAACGATGTGGCTACTTTATCCCACGTCTTGGAAGCGGCAAGCAAACCCCCTTTAAAAAGAACGCAAGTTTAAATAATAGAAACGTCCCAGCATCCTTAGCTAAATAAACTTGGGAAATGGAAAGAACGGGTGGCGGGTGGGGGGAGAGAAAGACCGAATGTTTTCAATGTTAACTTAAGTGAGTTTTTTTAAAAACATATTCTTCTTACATTCATTGCAGCCCACATCAGGGCCACCCAAGGTATGTGTGAGAGAAAGGTGCTTCTTTCCTTTCTTTCCTTCTTTCTTTCTTTCTTTCTTTCTTTCTTTCTTTCTTTCTTTCTTTCTTTCTTTCTTTCTTTTTTTTCCCCTTAGCAAAGCTGGGTTCTCAATAGAGATTCTGATGCAACTGTGCCTGACAACCGTCCTACCTTCTTGCAGAACGAGGCTGCATTTGCAAGGAATAAAAAGAACTCCGTGGAAAAAGTATCGCCACTGGATCGCCGACGGTTCTCTACCCCACCCCTCCTCGTCCCCCACTCCTTAAGCGATCCCCTTCTCGGCCCGTATTAGGCAAGGCGCACTCACCTCCTCAACTGTCAAAGGCATACAGATCCGGTACTCCTTCATGAGCATATTCCGACACATGTAAGGCAAACCGGCAGTTCAGGAGAAAGGCGGACCGCGGGGACACCCCGATCCTGCAAAGAAGGAAAGCCGCCGCCGCCGCCGGTCTACAGCGCTAACCCGGAGGTCGCCTCCCGCTTGGCAATTGGGGCCGTAGACGTCGTCGCTGCTGCTGCCGCCGCCGCCACCATCCAGCAGGCTGATCCAGCCCCCGGGGAGAAAGAGGGAGATAACACCCCGCGAGGCTCGGCTGCTCCGATCTTCCAGGTTGGCAGCTTCACACCGCGGGTCAGGCGCTGCTGCACACCCGCCGAAAGGAGGCTGGCGAGCCAAAGGCGGCGATCATACAAAGGCATCCGCCGGGACCGCTGCAACCAGAGGCATTTTCTTAGCCGCAGCAGCCCTCAAGACATGTTGCCCGAAGGCGAAGTCCGGGCGAAAGAGGCTTGGAGCGAGCAAAGTCCGGGAAGATCGGCCGCCGCCGCCGCCGAAGGTGATGCTTCCTTCCAAGACAAAAGGCGGTTTTCCGCCGTTTCCTTCCCCGGCGGGTAAACAAGCGCCCTCCGCCTTCTCCGGCCGAGCGTTGGGAAGGAAGGAAGGCAGGCAGGCAGGCAGGCAGGAAGGAGCGGCGTCTGCCCGGTCCCTGGATTGGGGCTGGCCTCGCCCCGGCGGAGAGAGAGTCCGCCGCTCCGGGTCGTGGCTGATCGCGCCGAGGAGGTTCTGCCGCAGCAGCAGGAGCGGCGGCGGCAAAGCTTAGGAAGGGTGTGAGAGCGTGGCTGACATCAGCAGCCCCGGCAGGAAGGAGGGCCTCATCCGGCCAATGGGGACGAGGCAGAGCCAGGCAGGCGACCCTTTGAAACAGCAGAGCCAGCCTCGGCGGGGAAAGGACAGGACAGGAAAGCCGCTGGCACGCCAGGCAGCAGCGGCAGGAGGAGGAGGAGGGAATGCTTGGGGGAGGAAGGCGCGAAATCAGCTCAGGGTTTTTTTCTTCAGAACGTCTGTGTGTCAGTGGTGAAATTCAAATTTTTTTATTACCGGTTCTGTGGGCGTGGCTTGGCGGGCATGGCAATTGAAGGATACTACAAAAGATCCCCATTCCCTCCCCACTCTGGGGACAGCCAGAGGTGGTATTTGCGGCTTCTCCAAACTACCCAAAATGTCCGCTGAGACCCTGCTGAGTTTCACCCCCAGGGTGTGTGCGTACGTGCGTGCGTCTGTGTGTGTGTGTGAGAGAGAGACAGACAGACAGACAGACTCACGGTCTGAAGAGTAGTGGAGGGCAACTGGCAAGTTAGAAATCTCCGGGGTCCAGGAAAGAGGAGGAGGGGAGAAGCAACAAGGGTCTTTGAAAGGATGGACAAGCCATTTGGGTCTCCTGCTTGAGCAGGGGGTTGGACTAGAAGACCTCCAAGGTCCCTTTCCGGCTCTTGTTATTCTATTCTGTTAATCAGACAGCGGGGGGGGGGGGAGACCCCATCCAGAGGTGGACTTCGAGGTGAAATCTAGACCTGATTTTCATCAGCATAGAGAAAGGAAGGTAGCCTTGGTGGGTGGGGAGACCCTGAGGCTCTTATTAGGGCCTTTTCTAGGGACTTCATTCCCTAGGAACAAGAGGAAGAAAAGAAAGGGGGGGAACGTATGTTTGTATGTATGTGTGTATGTGTGTATAGGGGGAGGTGTAGGTATTGTGTGTATACACAGGCAGCTGAGCTTTGATTCCTGCAAAACCCCATCTGTGCTGAGTTGGAGCACATTCAGCAGGGCCCTGACTACACATTCCATCTGGTTTCCTTCCCTTGACAGATCTTATTGTGCAAAGCCCTGCGGGCTGAGCTCAGAAACACTAACGGTGTTTTTGCTGAGCATGTGATCTTAGCAGTACATCCTCCACAAGGGAACAGAAGCTGAGAATAAGGAGAACTCCATTTTAAGAGGCCAAGCCCCTTTTCTTGCTCCTTCCAAGCCATCTGAGTATATAAACACTCTTTGTAACCTTGCATGGGTAAAAGAAACAAAACAAAATCTTAAATTTCATCATTGTTCCTTGGGCAGAGTTCAAGCAAATGATAACTGGTGCATACAGTATTAATTTATATCTTTTCTTGCTTTAGAGCTCCGCTTAAGTTAACTTTCGTTTCTCTTATTTGATTGGATTCTTCTTTTTAAAATTGGATGATTTTATCCGCAGATTATGTGGATTTGATTTTGTGTCTGTGAAGAATACTTGATTGCAAACAGACTCCTTTGAATTTTTAGGGAGAGTAGCCGTAAAACCTCTTTTTTTATAAAGAATGAAAGCTGAGACATCTAAAGGGAGAATATATTTATTGTGACTAAAATGGATAATAAAGGCATGAGCCAATTTCCAAGCTCTTTGGGCTGATATGCTTTAATTGTTAGAAAAACTGTTTTATCTCTATACTTTCTGAAAACATGAATACCATAGTGAAAAACTGAATTATTTCAGTTGTCTGTGGCTGATTGTTTTAAAATATTTTTAAAGTAATTCACATGGAATTTCTCCTGCTGGACTTTTGAATCTCTAATTTAACATTATATGAAATTGCAGGTAGTCCACAATATACAGCAGTTTATTTAGTGACCGTTCAAAGTTACAACGCACTGAAAAAAGTGACTTATGACCGGTTTTCACAAACTTAAGACTGTTGCAGCATTCCCATGGTCACATGATCAAAATTCAGAAGCTTGGCAATTGACTCATATTTATGATAGTTGCAGTGTCCCGGGGTCATGTGATCACCTTTTACAACCTTCTGACCAGCAAAGTCAAATGGGAAAGGTATTCACTTAACAACTGTGTTAGTGATCTAACAGCTGCAGCGATTCACTTAACAACTGTGGCAAGAAAGGTCGTAAAATGGGGCAAAACCCACTCAACAACGGTCTCACTTAGCAACAGAAAGTTTGGGCAGAATTGTGATCATAAATCAAGGGCTACCTGTAGTCTACAATCCACAACTTACCTGGAAGTGAAAGCCACAACATTTTACACAATAGCATAAGCGTTTATGGACTGTAGACCACTTCAGCAGATGTGTGGTGCTGTCCTTGTTACATGTTATATGTACATCTGGTCAAAAGAGAGAATTGTAAACAGTAAGATCAGCAAAATGACCGGCACAAAGTATAGTGACTATGACAATATTTATAGAGTCTGTTCACAAAAACATAAGAAAGGTGATAATGCAAGATATCCTGGCATTGGTAAATTAATTGAATTCAGTAGGAATCCGGAGAGAATAGTGCTACTATAGTCTTGGGCAAACTAAGAATATTTTAGCACGTATACTCACAACAAATGACAAATGTTACTACTGTATAGTTTTGACACCTTGCAGCATCCCAGTGGAACAGATGCTTCATGCATGAATCAGAGCATCACAGAATTTCCTAATTCTGCTTTTCTTAAGGATTTATATACACCATAATCTAAATATTAAGATATGTACAGTGCAGTATTTTTAAGTTTTCATACAAACAAAAGTAGGATTTTTTTAAACTCGTACAAACCTAGACTTTGGATCAAGTTATGGATTAGACACAGCCTCTTAATGAGTTCTGTTGTAAACGATTTACCTCTGCTTGGGCTCTTAATATTGCAAAGACTGTGAAAGGAAAGTTAACCTTCCAAGCTTAAAGCATCTGCAAAATGAGGTACAGGTAGTTCTTGACTTACAACCATTAATTTAGTGACCATTCAAAGTTACAATGGAACTGAAAAAAAAGGGATTTAGGATTGTTTTTCACACTTATGACCGTCGCAGCATCCCCATGGTCACATGATTACAATTCAGACGCTTGGCAACTGACTCATTTATGACAATTGCAGTGTGCTAGATCGTGTGATCACCTTTTGCAACCTTATAGCAAGTAAAGTCAATAGGGAAATCAGATTCACTTAACAACCGTGTTCCTAACTTAACAAATGCAGTGATTCGTTTTACAACTGTAGCAAGGAAGGTTATAAAATGGGGCAAAACTCATTTAACACACTTCTCGCCGAGCAACAGAATTTTTGGGCTCAATTATGGTCGTAAGTCGTGGACTACCTGTAGTTACAGCCACATATTTACTCACCCTCTTTTTTTTCTGTCTTCAAGATTATGGAGGGAAGGTACAACAGAAATCTAAGAAGGAGGGTGAAGAGGAATTTAGAGCTGACCTTAACAGATTAACAGAGTTGGAAGGGATCTTGTTGGTCATCTAGTCCAAACCCCGCCACCCAAAATTCTTTGAGGAACGTATGAAAGATCCAATAAGGGAGGGTGGAGGAAGGGATGAGCCATTAAAAAAAAAAGAGAGCTGGGGAGATTGTCTGGCAGAAAAGATCACACAGTCTTAGAGAAAGAGGGAAGCATTAGAAAGAAATCTAATCCCATGTTAATTTTGTGTCATATAGGATGGGATAGAGTAAAAATTAGAGCGATTGTCAGGATTGTGTGGCCCTACATTCCTAAAATCTCTGCCATGTCTGAGTCTTTGCCCCAGTGTCTTTTGATCTGGCCTATCCCCAAATAAATGGCCAGGATGTTAAAGGACCCTTCTCCTCTCCAGTCTGCATTGAGCCTCCATGGATTTTAATTATCTTATCTCAACAGTCAATAGTAACAGCCAGGGCCAGCTAGTCAGAATCATAGGGCTAGAAGGGACCTTGGGGGTCTTCTAAGCCCAACCCCCTAATTAAGGTAGGAGTCCTTATACCATCTTGGACAAATAGTTGTCCAGTCGTTTCTTGAAAACCTTCAGTGATGGAGCATCCACAACTCTGGGAGGCAAGCTGTTCCATTGACTAATCATTCTCACTGGTAGAAAATTCCTCCTTTTTGTCCATGTCCGTCTGTCCCCCCCATTGCTTCTTGTCCTGCCCTCAGGTGCTCTGGAGAGCAAATCAATGTTCTCTTCCCTGTGATATCCCTTCAAGTATTGGAGGACTTCTATCATGTCTCCCTTAAGCTTTTTATTCGTAGGCTAAGCATGTCAAATAGAGTAGAGTAGAATAGAATAGAATAGAATAGAATAGAATAGAATAGAATAGAATAGAATANCTTTGTTATATTTGTGTTTTTTTTTATTTGTGCTGATAAATAAATAAAGGGAGACTAGTATAGATCTATTTCAAGCTATTTGCATCTTAGGCAAATGTCTTAGCCATTATGCCACAGGTCTCCTCCTTATCAGCTGAAGCCAGGGAAGAAGGTATATATTTAGTGTCACAACCCCTGGTAAGTTTGTATGTGTGAAACAGTTCCTTAGGTAAGCTCAAGTTACCCCCCCCCCCCCCCAAATAGCCAAAATGGAATGTATCTTACCAGTGGTAAAAATTATGCATTTCATTATCAATTGTAGGAAAAGCGGAAATGAAAGTTTGTGTCTTGTTCATTGCAAACATCTATTTCTGTCTTTCCAAAATTTAGCGAAGGCAGTAACCTCACTCCAGCGCATCATTATCCTGACTTCAGGTTCAAAACATACGCCCCCGTCGCTTTCCGCTATTTTCGAGAACTTTTTGGCATTCGTCCGGATGATTATTTGGTAAGATCTGCTCATCTTTCTCCTTTTATTCCTTTGGAAATAAACAAAAAAAGCACAAGTAGTCCTCGATTTATGATTAAAACTAAGCCCAACATTTCTATTGCTAAGCAAGGCAGTTGTTAAGTGAGTTGCGTCCCATGTTACAATATTTTTTGCCACAGTTAAGGAAATCACTGCAGTTTTTGAAAGTGACTGGCTTCCCCCATTGACTTTGCCTATCAGAAACCAGTTGGGAAGGCTATAAATCACGGCCACAGGATAGTGTAACTGTCATAAATACATGTCAGTTGCCCAGTACCCTTTTTTTTGTATCGTGTGAACTGTTGGGGATGCTGAAACAGCCGTTAGTGTGAAAATCAGTCCCTTTTTCAGTGCAGATGTAACTTTGAATGGCCAGTTCACAAATGGTTGTAAGTTGAGGACTACTTGAATGGGTATTAGGATGTATTGCCCCATAACCTTTCCAGGTTGGCCGGGGTATGTGTGTGATTTTGTGGGCGGGGCAAGCGCACATGTGTAAACTCCTGCAACGTTCGTGGCGATGCTCACACGAGGGGGGGGCCCCACAAGCGCCCGCAAAAATAAGCACCCACTTATACAGCCCGGTGGCGATTGGCTACGGTCCGGTAGTGGGCTGTGGCCCACAGGTTGGGGGGACCCCTGACCTACGGAATGCATGGGTCAGGGTTTTTCAGCTGGGATGAGCAAATGGGGAGAAACCTATTGACGTTTCCTACCTGCGGTTGAATTCTTCTTGCCTTCTCAGTATTCCTTGTGCAATGAGCCGCTGATCGAGCTCTCCAATCCTGGGGCCAGCGGCTCCCTCTTCTACGTCACCAGCGACGATGAGTTCATCATCAAAACTGTGATGCACAAAGAGGCAGAATTCCTCCAGAAACTTCTTCCGGGTTATTATATGGTATGTATCCGACCTTGTTTCTTTTAAAAGTTTGGGAAATGTATCTACATCAGTGTTCCTCAACCTTGGCGACTTTAAGTCTTGTGGACTTCAACTTCCAGAATTCCCCAGTCAATTTCCTGACAGTTAGAAATGCGCACAACCCCTCCCCGAACTCCAGAGATTCTCCTGAAGGCTGGGGATGGCGAAAACAGCCTCCACCGACCCTCCGAAAGCTGGAAACAGATAGTTTCCGAACTTCTGGTTGGCCACTGGGGCTGTTTTTCGCCCTCACCAGCCTCCAAAGGCTTTCCTGAGTCCTGGGGTGTGTGTGAAAACAGCCTCCCCTGGCCCTCCTGAAGTGTGAAATATCAGCTGACAGCCGGCGTGCCACTAAATATGGCTCCGTAGGTGCCATAGGTTCGCCATCACGGACATATAACCAGGGGAGGATGCAGTTTCTTTTCCAGGAAGAGCCCTACTTGCCTCAGGTGCAAAGTTGGATGGTCAAGATCAAGATCAGGTCTTGTGGCCAGCATATTCTATGTACCTTTTAAAATCTCCCCTCAGAACCTGAACCAGAATCCACGGACGTTGCTGCCCAAGTTCTACGGTCTCTACTGCGTCCAATCCGGGGGCAAAAACATCCGTGTGGTGGTGATGAATAACATCCTTCCCCGGGTGGTGAAGATGCACCTGAAATACGACCTCAAAGGCTCCACCTACAAACGCCGGGCGTCCAAGAAAGAGAAGGAGAAGTCAAGCCCCACCTACAAAGATTTGGACTTCATGCAGGATATGCCCGAGGGCATCATGCTGGACACGGACACATTCAACGCTGTGGTGAAGACACTGCAGAGGGACTGCTTGGTAAGTCCAAAGAGGTCACCAGCCATCCTGAGCTCAGAGTAATGTATTGTTAACAACCCAGGAAGGAGGAGAGAAAAATACAGGTTCTGTATTTTTTGGAGTATAAGACACACCTCCCCCCCCCCAAAAAAGAGGGTGAAAATCTGGGTGTGTCTTATACTCCAAAAAATACAGAACCTGTATTTTTCTCTCCTCCTTCCTGGGTTGTTAACAATACATTACTCTGAGCTCAGGATGGCTGGTGACCTCTTTGGACTTACCAAGCAGTCCCTCTGCAGTGTCTTCACCACAGCGTTGAATG